CATGTCTATAATTTATTTTAATTACGTTACGGTAAACTCAGGAAAGATAAAAAAAAGTCATTTAGTTGGGTAAAGGGAGGTGTATTTTAAAATTTGTAAATTTAAATTCCAGGTTATTTGGTTATTAGTATATTTTATTATAAGTTACCAATTAAAATTATAAAATACCATACTCTCACACTTTTATTTTACACTATATCATAAACCATCAGAGCGCAAGATTCGACACGCTAACACGGAATAGAAAAAAAGGTCGTATTTTTTTGTATATTCGTAGTGGTGATAAAAACGAATGCGAAATCCAAGTGCCTTGATTTATGTGGTAACGTTTAGTGGGATTGTTTATTTTACTTTAGTTACAAGTGGCAAGTCTCGGATGAATAGCTTTGTTCATTTTACAGTTTCAAGCACTCGCAACAAGTCACTTAAAATCGCGTACCAATCAGTCATCTCAATTTTATGTCGATAAAACGAAAAGTATTTACAATTTTAATAAACAGTTTCTATTATTAAAATGTAAATGAAATTTGCTACAGAATACACAAAACAATGGTTCATTTCTACTCTTACGAATGAGCGCAATCCAGTTCTCTTTTAGATTTTGACCTCGATTATCCTAAAAAATACGTAGGTATAATATATAATTTGTATTACATCCCAAAAATTTTATTCGAATACATAAAGAAAAAAGATAATTAAATGAGATAATAAAGATGTTTCTTTTAATTATTTATCCATGCATTACAATATTCGAATAATATAAAAGTATGCTACACATTATTAATGTATGAAGTAACGTAACGTTATGTTATATTTCACGTTACCCAACAACAGGTAAAAACTAACGTACAATCATGGCAACATTTGGTTCAGGTTTTGTGTTCCAAGCTACAACCTCCAATTTGATTTTGATTAATTGAAAATATCAGTTTATAAGTTTACTTAAGTATGAAATGTGATTCCATCCTGTTTTTTGTTTTCGGAAGATTGGTTTCTACACATTTTCACTACAAAATTCGGTATTTTCTAATAAATATTGTTATTTATTAATACGTCACGCTCCACGCACCGGTATAGCTCTACTGGGAAGCCAAGGCGTAGTTTCGTTGCATGTGTGTGCGTGTAACTGTGTATGTACACGGCGAGGCGTAGTTTTATCGGCTTCACCTTTTTGTTCGGCAGACTCCGTCTTTACTTTTTATTTGGTCTGAGATGTTAGATGATAAATTGTGTGACATGGAACCTACGATAGTCGAAACCATGGGACGGTTCCTGAGGTATCTCTACTTGTAACCGAATTCTTCGGACTTGATTTTGTTTTGTGTCTGTTCACAGACAATCGTTTTTAGAGTGTAAACTCCGGTCGTGCGTCGGAGCTGACACACACATTTTTTTATCTCAGAAATCATCCTTTATAGGGGATGGGAGGTGGAAGTTTGTATAGGAAACCACAATTTTCAAGCTGAAGAAATTGCGGGCACCTGCTAGTATTCTTTAAAACTTAAATTATAAGACTCCTTCAATGATAAAGACAAGGTACAGATTAGAGAGATGCGTGCTTCACGATCCCAGTGCAGTACGATAGCTATATTTTGGCTGATATCAATGTTAAACATACTTTTACTATAATTTAAATTAGAATACCTTAAAGTGTAGGAGGAAAATAAGTAATTATTGTATCTTAAAAAAATGAAGCTGTATGGATTTTGTTTTGCCTATCCAAATTGTAAATATTAATAAAAATATAAAAGTGTGACCAGACTTAACAAAATAATACCACTGTGGTAAAATTCCAACTATATTTATACCAAAATTTTTACTACAGTTAGCACTCATTGGGCGTTATAAGCAACGATATTAAATACCCTAAATGCACCACGTGCGCTCAAAATGTGTCCCAAGCAAGAAGTGCTGGAACACCCCTCAAGCACTTCTTGGTTCACAGTCACGCGTGGACCGTTGAAAAGTTAACAAGTCGCAGAGCTCCGTGAAAAAATAGGAAAAAATACTTATAGTACGTAAAGTGCCGTTTTTTCGACAGGTATCTAATCAATGTTTGTTAATTTAACGCATTTGAAGCAAATTTTCTTCTAATGCTTACTATGAACTGATTTAATAAAAATATTTGAGATATTCAAATGCATGGTCGGTAATATTGCTGTCTCTTTCCCCGCAGTCCGTACCTGCTATTGCTGACAACGCATTCAGAATTGCGCGTAGAGTCAGTCAGAGTATAATGGTAAAATTTTACGAGTTTGCATTTTGAACTGTCTTAACTCTTTGACGCATGCGTTTTAATTAAGACCTTAAACGGTATGGATTATCGGTAACTTCAAATGTTTAAATAATGCCTGATATTATTTTCAAGTGCACGATCATCTTATGGAGCTCCGTGTCTAATTTACCTTTTAGATAGGTTTCGGCCGCGATCTTGTTCTCCTGCTATAACTGGGAATCAAACTCGTCTCGAATCAAAATCAATCAAAGATTTCGAAAAAAAAACACAACATACTTTATGATAACCATCGAAAGGGTTAATCATAAGGATTAGTTTTTGCTAAATAACATAGCCAAATGAAAGGAATGTCTTATTACGTGATAAAATTAATAAAGTGATGTACAAACTGTAGTATGTATGCTTTCTTTTTGAACTCACAGTTACAATGCGATTGGCTAAAATTTATAAAAATAATAATTCCAAAATGGAACACATAAATTTGCAAGCGTCTGCTCTTTTGTTTTTTGTGAGTTTCATTTTCATTTATTTGCAATTTTTTTGTTAATTTACTTACCACTGCGTATTAGAAAAAAATGGATTTAATGGAAGCTTACTTTATGAACCACAAAGACATATTAGCTTTGCGGTGGTACCTGATAGAGACGTACCTTCTCGATATGTGTTTAAAAGGTTAGTAGATACTTTAAGAAAGTTAGGACGTTTTGGTATCCGCTTACAGAAACCACGGCAGCGGATGATAAACGTCTACGATGGTAAACTCAACATTTTAACTTACTTTGAGGCGTATCCGATTTGATATAAGTTTGTGTAAAATAATTTGAAATAAAATGTTAAATTTAATTACTTTTCTTTCATTTGAAATGCTATTTTATTTAGCAGAAAATAATCCTCATGTGTAACCCTTTCGATGGTTATCATAAAGTATGTTGTGTTTTTTTTTCGAAATCTCACGAGTTTGATTCCCAGTCATAGCAGGCGATTTTAAAAAAATCTTTGAATGCAGTTCTAGTTATTATTAAAAATGAAATGATGTCTTCTTTTAGTAAAAAATCCTATCTTCAATATTTAATATACTTTCCCTCCGTGTGAGGTAGCCGTGGGACGCCCTATATAGTATAGTATTAACAGAGATATACTGAAACTAGTGGTATTTTTCTATTTAACTACCTTTATTATATATTTTATTTTTTCAGTAAAACTCTGTTTAAATGTATACCAGTATCGAATGTTGCACGCGAGCCCATATTTTATAATATTTTTATTGGATATTTTCTTTGGCCAAGTTGGTATATATATTATATTTCAGTATTTTTGAGGTGCTTCGGTATTTTCGTAAAATTTATTTTGGTCACACTGCGGCTCGCTCAGTGTGACCATATGTGGCAGGATCCTGCCGTTTCGGCAGGTTTAGCCCTTGCTTTTCCTCTCTGGCATATTTGTTTTACGTTTTAGAAATCTGGCAGTATTTGGCAGTTTATCACCTTGGGCGCCATGCCGATCACTTTATTTTTTTTTCATAGAAATTATCGTCCTGCAGGATAATCTTAAGATTGCCTGACGGCGTTCAAGGTGTTATAGCAATATAAGCTTTTTTTTATATTATTATGAGTAGGGTGCGGATCGATAAACGAAAAACAGTAGGTAGGAATTTTAAAATGCCAATGGCAACATTGGCAACGATACCTTTGTTTCGGGGACTTCCCATAACGTCTCTAGTTGAATTTGTAGTTCATTCCATTGTGAACCTTAAAGCGGGAGCATAATGTTTATATTACCTATATCTTTATTTGTCAGTTGTTTATGTAATTAGTCGGACTAGAAAAACTGTTTGAAAAAAACACAGATTTGTTTTGTTTCTGATTTCGTGTGGTGTGTGTGAATGGTTACCATATTACCATGAAACGTAAATATGAAATTCAAATGGTAACTTAAAATACGTAAATATTTCCAATTTTGTAAAATGTTTGTTGTGTTTGCCAATGTCGAATGCTGCTTGTGAAAGAATATTCTTGCAAATCAACCTTATAAAAACAAAAACCCGGAACAGATTTATCAATAAACATGTCGCCTCTATTTTGCATGTAAAACAAGGCATTAAAGAATATGGTGACTGCGTTTCATTCCAGCCAACAAAAGATATGATTAAAAATATAAAGAAATTGATCAAGAAGAATACGAGGCTAATACGAATGTATAACTATTTAAAATAAAAATATAAAAAAATCATGTGACTATTTATTTTAAAATTTTAAATTGTATTGGCATTATTTCGGCATTTTGTGCATAAAAGTTTTGGCAGGATTTGTCAGTTTTTTTGCCTAAGCGGGGCAGGATCTATAATTTAAGGTTGGTCACACTGGGCTCGCTCGTGTCATGTGGGTTTTTGGCGGGATTTCATCGAGTGTTTTTGGCGTCTTATTTTAATTATTCTTAAATTCGTTCATAGTAGATATTGTGAAATAAAATTGGTGTGATTTTGTATTACAACTGTCTGCGTAACTGAAGAATTAGTAGAATCGTCAAAATATACGCTTTTCCGGTCAAGTGGACGTGAGAATTTTATTGTAGTATTGACTACCTCATAGAAGCTTATCGAAAAAGCCAGCTCGATACATTTCGTGCCAAACACTTCAAGAACCATTAGAATGCGTCACACCGACATTCTAATGTAAAAAGAAAAACAGAATAATTTAACTTAAGACTAGGCTGTATGGGCATTGTTCTCCTTGCTTTCCCTGAAAAGGGAGAACTTAACCAAAAAAAAAATCGTGTCATGTTGTTATGTCAAAAGTTTTACAAAAACGCGAAAACAAACAGACAATAAATGGTTTAAATATTTGATAAAAAAAAATGAGTAACTCAGATAGTGATGAAGATAATCCAATAACATATGGAACTCCTCTGGATCCTGTAGATGATGGTGAGAGATGATACATAACCTCAGTTTTTAAATCTTACCAGTAGAATGATTTACTTGCCAGAGCCTATGAAGCGGTCTGCTAGTATCTTTATCAACTTTAAGGCGTAAGTTAAGGGGGTTGGTGAATTCACCTCGTTGGAAAAAATCCGGAATAACGAGTTTAAAATACGTCATTGGTTGTGCTTTCTAGAGTCATAGTAAGGTGTTGTTAAACCATCGTTAAACAGAGTTTTCTTATCAGGATAGCCACTCCACCATGCCCATCTGGACTGATTTGATATTGTTTTCTCTTGACCAAGTATTACTTATGGAGGCAAATGTCTATAATCTTTTAGTTGGTGATATTATGGGAGGTTTTTTGTGTTAAGACTGTACATTATATTGATATATATTTAAATATCTTAACTTTTGCTTATTTGAATAAATGCATAAAAATAAATCCATACATTCTGTCTCCAGATACTTTGATGTTCCTCATAACTTTTTACGTTTAAGTTGAACATAATTTTATATTAATTATAAAAATATATGTGATCTTTTGCTGTTATGAAAAAAATCATCAAAAGTATATTATGTGCATCCACACTTGTTAACCAGGTATAAATTGAAAATCTAGGAATTCATTAAACACATTTTTGTAAATTCATTAGTTTATGTAGCGGAGGAGGTTTCTTGGATTAAATAACGCAGAACTCGAAATAAATAATATTAATTCGCTGTTTAACAATTATATTTGAAGAGAAGAGTAAAGGTACAGTTGATCGTTACGCGCTTAAAAATTGAATATAAAAAAAAAGTTAACCGCCGCGAACCCAACGAATTTGCCGCTGCAGAACATTCATAGCCTTGGCTTCAACATGCCCCCGGCCTTGAAAGCTGTAGCTTTCAATGATGCTCCTTGGTTTCAACTGGAAGTGGACATATTCTCGAGAATGCTCGCCGCACAATTCCCGATGCAGTCTGGATATCAGCATCGCGCGAAATGCCATCATTGCCAGGATAAACCTTAGTCACTCTTCCCAGGTTCCACTTTAATCGTGGTGCATTCGTGTCTTTAATGACCACCAATGTTCCGATTTCTATGCTACACTTATTCGTTTTCCACTTCGACCTCGTCTGCAGCTCCGAAACAAACTCAAGGGACCAGCGCCACCAAAAGTGTTGTCGCATTTGCTCAACCCGTTGATACCTTGTCACACGATGCATGGGTCTGTCTTCCAGATTGGTGCAAGTAGGGGCGGTGAGAGGTCGACCGATGAGAAAATGAGCAGGGGTGAGAGGTGACATGTCTGTGGGGTCTGAAGAAAGTGGAGTCAAAGGTCGGCAATTCAGTACCGCCTCGATCTGCGCCAACATAGTAGTGAACTCCTCGAATGTCAAGTGTGCATTACCTATTACTCGCCGGAGATGATACTTACAGCTCTTGACTCCGGCCTCCCACAATCCACCAAAATGAGGCGCATAAGGGGGGATAAAGCTAAACTTAATACCTTGACTAGATGCATAGTTAACAATTTTATCTGACGAATTAGAAATAAATTTTGCGAATTCATTCATGAGCCCAACGAAACATTTGCCGTTATCAGAATAAATTTGTGAAGGTTTTGAACGCCTAGAAATAAACCTTTTTAAAGCAAGCAAATAAGCATCGGTTGTGAGATCACTAACCAACTCTAAATGAATAGTACGAGTAGAAAAACATACGAATAAGCATATGTATGCTTTCATAGTCTTAGCTCCCCTACCCTTTCTGTTTAATATGAGCACCGGCCCCGCATTACCAACACCACAGATCCTAAAAGGATAGCCTGGAGTCAGTCGGTCCTTGGGTAAATTACCCATGATAGGTTCAGGTGTCTTAGCCTGCAACCTCGCACACCTAACACAGTTATTAACTACCTTTCTAGCAAGGTTGCGTCCTCCTATTGGCCACCAATTTTCTCGAATTGTGTACAAAAGTAGCTGAGAGCCAGCGTGTAATAATTTAAGATGCTTTTGTTCAAAAAGAATAACTGATAATCGATGTTTGGATGATATTAGAATAGGATGCTTTTTATTATATTCAAATTCAGAGGAGCCAAGTCGACCACCAATGCGTATAATCTGATAGTCGTCGATGAACGGGCTTAAATTCAATAAATTATGTTTATGTGGTAATATTTTTTTATTAATTAATAATTCATAACTATCTGGAAATGATTCCATCTGTGAAAATCTAACCAATAAATTAAGGGATGTTTTTAGTTCATCGGTAGAAAGTGGCCCGGTGCGTATAATGTTTTTATTATTTGAACTTCTATTATAACAAGCACGTTTCAAGCGAGCAACGCCACGAACCAGACGATCAAGTTGCGAGAACTTATGGAATGGAAATCTAAATTGCTTATTCACATTTTTTATTTCAGGCAGCTCTTGCTCTAAGTTGAATTTAGACGCAGATGCATAATCAAAGTACGATTCGCGAAGAAACTCTGGTCCGATTGATTGCAATTCGTTAAGTGACACATTTGAAGTTGACTTTTGGCTCGCATTAAAAACCACTCGCAATTTTGTTGTGGTACTATGATCACGAAACACTCCATGATGAGGCATGAAATAATATGGTTTAGAATATGTATCAAATTTAGATATATGACCTAAACTTTGATACTCATGAATAAAATCAGAATACATTTTTTTTAAAGAAGGATTGTATTGTAATCTCTTTTCGAGCGCCTTAAAACTACGCTCCGCAATAGAAAAAGTGTCGCCTAAATTATGTAATGAACGCTTGAAAGGAATTTTAACGCAAAATCTACCATCCGCTGTACGCTTTGTGTTTTCAACAAAATGCTTTTCGCAAGCTACCTCGTCGTCGCTAAGTAACATAGGTTTGGGAATCTCTTCTAGTTCCCAAAACAGTCTTAACTGTGAATCAACAGACTCGCTAAAATTACACAGCACCGAATCATCGCTTTTCAAGTTATTAGAATAAATAGTTCCTGATATGATCCATCCTAACTTTGTATTCTGTAAGAATGGCCCTTGTTTTAAACGCATTTTTCCTTCGCTTAATATGTTCCAAAACGCATCAGCACCAATTACCATATCAAACGGTTGGCTTTGGAAAAATGTAGAATCTGCCAATTGTATGTTATCTGGAAGCTTTAAGGATTGCAGAACGTCTCTTTGGATAGTAATAGGAGGTAAAGAACAAGTGATTTGAGGTAAAACTAAACACTGTATCTGCATGATGAATGAATTTGTTAACGCTTTTATATCAACAGTGCACGATTGAGTACTATGAGATACCGAATTACCAACGCCTTTTATTTGAAAAATGGACTGTATCGTATTTAAGTTCAAATCATCGCATAATTTTTTCGTAATAAAACTGCGTTCGCTACCGCAGTCAAGTAAAGCGCGCACGACCTGACGCTTACCGCTTTTGCCTGTTACTTCAACCAACGCGGTTGATAATAATACTGATTGCACACTATATAACTCGTCGGTTTGTATTAAATGATTATCTAAGTGTGCTGTATGAATATACGTGCATCCATCGGATGTCGCATTAGCTCCCGTCTTGCAGCCGGGCGGGGAAACCGGTTCCTTATCGAGCGGGCCAGCCGTCGCGGGCGCAGCAGTGATCAGTTGATCGCTGTGAATCATTGTATGTCTTTGATTGCATTTGCGACAGGAGCTGAATCTACAGTTTGCTAATGAATGTCCCGCTCGCAAACAGTTCCGGCATAAGTTTTTGTTCTCAATCACTTTAAGCTTTTCGTGTAAAGTGAATTTATTAAACGTATTACATGTGTAAATAGGATGATCGCCGTTGCATACTACACAGCTGCGTGATGATTTAAAGTGATGTGAATTGTTGTGATTCGTACTAGGCAAAACATGACAGTGCACTTTGGAATTATGCGCCTCTTTAGGATACGTTTTCGAATTGTGACTGTGTGTAACCTGTAAAGTTTCTAACATGTCGGCCCTGTCTTTTAAGAATTTAATTAGATTTTCTAATTTTATTGAAGGTTGTATATCTTTCAAACCGTCCATGGGAATCGAACCCCTGTATTTTTCCCATTCGCGTTCGGTAATATTGTCTAATTTTGAAACTACCATATAAATTATGAGTGTATCCCATGAATCTACCGGCTCATGTAACAGTTTCAAAGCGCGTAATTTTTTTAAAATGGTATCAATTAGTTTTCGAATTTGACCAGGTGACTCTTTTACAATATTTTGAAGTGAAAATAAGGCCTTAACATGGTTATGAACCAACAACCTAGTGTTATTGTAACGGTTACAAATTAATTCCCAAGCTACCGCATAATTGTTTGAAGAAAATTCCAAAGAATCTATTACAAGCGCTGCCACACTTTTTAGAGAGGATTTCAAATAGTGAAATTTTTGTATAGGCGAGATATCTTTATTATTATGAACGAGGGACAGAAATGTGTCTCTAAACTCCAACCAATGCTCATATGAACCATCAAAGATAGGCATAGCGATGGTAGGCAATTTTACTGCATGTAAATTAGCATTAGTGCTAGTAGCGATCTCACCAGACGAAAGTAAGCTTTTAGCTTGTGCTACGGTCGCATAATGTAAGCTTTCAAAACCCTAACGCAATTCTAATTGTTTAAAAAGCTCATGTTCGTTTACTGAGTTTTCTATCTCAGATTGAATAGCGCTAAATTCATTAAAAAATATCGAAGCCCCTTGAATTCGCATTTCTAATTCTGACCGTTTATTTGAATTTGAAAGTAGTTCCTGTGCATCTAAGCCATTAATATATTTTATTAATAGCGTTAATCTACCCCGTATTACCCCTCTTTTCTTATTTAATGCATGAATTTCACTGTCGCTATTTGAATTAGGTGATTTTTCGGGAACTACCAATTTATCGTTGCTCATTTTGGTGGATAGTGAAAATATACGGAGTACTTACAGTTCTGCAGGTACACCCAGACGAGAATAAGGTATTTCTCTTTCCGCACAGCTAAGGGTTGCTTCTGATCGCTTTTTGAGGAAGATGCAAGCAGATATTTTGCAAATGATCCAAGACGAGCAGTCACTTCGTCTACTCGCTTAAGTCGCTTTTTCGCATAGGTCGCTTTCTTCGTGTTTTGTATCCGGTTCCGAAGGTCCAGTTTATGTAGCGGAGGAGGTTTCTTGGATTAAATAACGCAGAACTCGAAATAAATAATATTAATTCGCTGTTTAACAATTATATTTGAAGAGAAGAGTAAAGGTACAGTTGATCGTTACGCGCTTAAAAATTGAATATAAAAAAAAAGTTAACCGCCGCGAACCCGACGAATTTGCCGCTGCAGAACATTCATAGCCTTGGCATCAACAGTTAACAACCAAGTCTTGGTTGCATTAAATAATTGTGAATCAGGATATCTTCAGTTTGAATACAGAAGAAAGATCTGACCATGTAATCAAATATTTTAAGAAACTATAGTTCCTGAGAAGCTTGTCAACCAAAAGGTTGATCACTTCTTATTTTTAATATTATACATGATGAACACTCAATAAATGAATATTTACTTTACTAGATGACATCCCCTCAAAGCGCAAGTATCAACAACCCCCAGACCAGTATGCAGTGGACGCTCATGGCAGGAGACGGTTCCATGGGGCCTTCACAGGGGGCTTCTCAGCAGGATATGGCAATACCGTTGGTACTCCCGAAGGCTGGACTCCCACTGCTTTCAAAAGCTCCCAGTCTAACAAAGCTTCAGTGTCGGTAAGTTATTCAATATATTATTTATTTAACCTTTCAGGTGGTCAAATTTTGTGTTATGCAGATGAAGTCATGGGCACCAGCTGGTATTTCCTAATTCTTAATCAGTGACCTGATCCTCTCTATGTTTAGTTGTATTGTACTGTACTAAGGTAGGTGACCAATCACTAAATATGGTAACACTAAGCTATAGACACATGATGTTACCATATTTAGTGATAATGAAAATTTGACAATCATTGGTTCTTGTTAGTCAAAGGCTTGATTACTAATTGCATTAATGTTTTGCCTATTATAGTTTAATGCAATTGGCTCAAACCCAAATTTACACATGCAATTTGGGTGTAGCTGTTGGTGATGATGATAACATTAATTTCATTTTTCCACAATTTTAATATAATAATATGTTTATAAATGTATTTTTCCTATAAATTTGTATTAAACCAATAGCTAATCAAAACCCAGTGCCTCTGCACTATGATATTTTAGGTATTATGATAAAAACAGGCAGAAGTCCAGTCTCCAATATGGCAATCAATGTAATATAGAATTATGTGTCAGGATGTGGTTCGAAATTATAATGACAGTTCAAGCTTGACAGTACTTTATTCATCACACACTTCTTTATTAAACATACAATAATACACTCACTGTGCACTATATACTCGTAAGTCATTATAAAAACAAACAAACACTTTCATTTTAATAGCCATTGTTCCTAAATCGTTGTTGAAACTCAACAGAACTGTTATTGCCTTGAAAGTAAACTGTCCATTGCGCGGCGTCGGACGCCCTTATATATGCCAATCAACGCATTCCAGAAAAGTCCAGTTCAATTGAGAGTTCACTAGTACCGGCGATTACGTAGTAGGTACCTAGTGACAATTAGGTACAGGTCGCGGTACGTAACTCTAGCGCTGAACAAAACGTAGAGGGGATAGCTGCGCATGGCACTGATGCAAGATTGGGGGGGATTTTCCCCAAATTTGGGGGTTATTTGCCCCAAATTTGGGGGTTTTAAAAAACCCCTACCCAGCATTGGGGGGAAATTTACGATCAATGGTCTATCAATAGTCTCTCTTCCTCATTCTGTATAGAGCTTGACAAAGATAGACTGTTGTCAAATATAATTTTATTAGGCTTAAAGAAGCATGCCAAATTCGGACCTCTAAGTTCAAAGCCCACTTAAAACTTAACTCAGTCACTCGGTCAGTCAAGTCATTGTCAAGTCAGGCAAGTCAGTCAGTCGTTAATGGTCGTAAGCTTAAACTGCAAATCGATTCGACACTATCATCTTTGCTCTGCTAAATCGTAATTTGTGCAGAAATACATATTACGTAGTAAAATTGTATTTTAATAAATATTTTGCATGTTGGGGGGTTTCTTTCTTTAAAAACCTGTATTTTGGGGGGAAGGCGAAATGGCTTTTTGGTAACACTGGCGCAAGGGTACGACTAGAGAGCCAATCGGCGCAACGCACGCCCACCCGCGCACCTCGTTTTAACACACACAACAACACATCTTAATTTTTACTTCTGCGCAATAACGGTTAGCGCTAGAATTTTTACTTCTGCGTAATCACGGTCAGCGCTAGAGTGTCGTACCGCGACTTATAGCACGCATGAGTTTTAAAGAATAAGGCAACTGTCATTGCACTTTCACCCTTACACCCGTACTGTTTACTCTTTCATCGTGGTTATTCGCGTCGTGAATCGCGGCGTCCCTGGGTAAATCTTTTTCAAGTATGTTCGTGATTTTGGTTCTAGAGCGTTCGTGACAATATGAGATGTTGAAGGTATTTTTATAAATTCTCTTAGAAGGTGATAGAAAACAAAAAATAAAGTAATAGTAATAATTATGCTTTCAATTTGAATAAATACATTTTAACTTTAACTTTATGTATGCAGGTACAGAGGCCCGAAGACTTCATGGATGATGAGGATCGCGACGAGTTCGGCATAGCGCCGCGACACCTGCAGACTCGCAGCGACTTCACGGGACAGAAGAGAAAACATCAGCGCTACCATGAGGGGCCCATACCTGGTACGTATTTATATATTGGTTGAAGTCTTCAAATCATTTCGAATCTGAAAGCCATGCTTAATATTGTCAAATTAAATAATTTCCTCATGTTGTCTCTTTTGATTTTAAAATCTAGTAGTTTAAGTTTTAAATTAACTATATAATAAAAAAAAACTCGGCAAAAGGCGAGTCGTGCGCAATATTAATTTTTAAAGTGAATATCCAACTAAATATTCTGTGAATATTTCAAGTACCTGTTGCCTTTATTAACAGAAAGCAAAAAACGACAAAATAAAACACAATGTATGCTTAAATATTCATTTTATTCTATTTTTAGTATTTGTTATAGCGGTAACAGAAATACATAATCTGTGAATTTCAACTTTCTAGCTTTCACGGTTCATGAGATACAGCCTGGTGACAGACGGACAGTGGAGTCTTAGTAATAGGGTCCCGTAGCTACGAAACTCAAAAAAATGGTGGAAAAGAAGCTTTGTTTACAGCTTAACTGATAATAAGCTTACCAAATAATATTTATTTTTACCATACCAATTTCTGACCCTTCTTTGTTCCTCGTATTTATTGACAGTGAATTATGGGTTGCCTGTAAGAGATTGCTGTTAAGCAATAAGGCCGCCTATTGTGTACGTTTTCACTGTCATGTTTAATGTCTTGTATGCCATGTCACACATTATGTCAATAAAGAATATTATTATTAATTAAAAGATTTGTATGGGAATGCTAAAATCCACCCCTTCAATGATATGTCAGTCATGTTGAATAGTATCGTAACCACGCACAACACTGAAATTTTCTGAATTCTCTTTAATAACACGAAAATTGACACAAAGAAGGAATATTTACGGCTTACCTTAATTCCCTTAGGGAAGGGTGTTTCCTATCTACTTGAGTTAGTAAGCAGCCTTCCTTTACCCAACTCCTTGTCACATGGGGTTTGTCAAAAATCTTGATCGGTAAAAATTCCCTACTCCTTAGCGTTTATTCCAAAATATTTATTGGTGAAACCAGGTGAGCCAGTCCTCGAGCAATTACTCAAAGCTGTTCACGAGACGGCTGCGGTCAGGATGCTTCGTGCTATGGGCTGGAGACCAGGCCAAGGCACTGGAGATAGACTCACAAAGGAAGAGAAGAGGAAACGGCACACCCAACACAAGGTGTACGGTTGCTACATGCCCCCAGAAATGAGGCAGGTTAGGGTTAATATGCTGTTATTGAATATATATATAACTATATACACAGGGCAAGGCAACAGAGATAGACTCACAAAGGGAGGGAAGAGGAATCGGGAGACCCAACACAAGGTGTACGGCTGCTACATGCCTCCAAAAAATGAGGCATGTGAGGTTTGATATTGCTGAAAATCAGCATTTTGCCTATTTGCATCACTGTCACTTTCTAATGACTGTAGTTTAGACTTGATATTTAAGAACTATGTCCGCAGTGAACATGTATTAATTGTATTAATTTCTGATGCAAATAAATGAATGAATTGAATTGAATGAATGAATTGATATGAAGTCATTGAAGTTATACATATATGGGGCAATATACTGTAGGTAGACTCACTAGGCTAGAGAAGAAGATACGGCACACCAAACACAAGGTGTGCGGCTGCTACATGCCCTTTAGAAATGAGGCAAGTGAGGTTTAATTCTTGTTTCCCAAACCTCGGTAGGGTATTATCTCCGTGATTATTATAGAATGCCGGCGGATGTATTTTATTAAAAAGTTGTTTCCAAAACTTCGGAATATATAGAATGATCAATGAAGTTATATACCTAACGGTAACAGGAATGCTTACCTGTTATTTTGTAAAGCAATAATGTAAACCTTAACAGAAGTACTTAAGGTTTACTTTCTGTTAGATTAAGGGTAAAAAGGAGAGAGACTAAGTTTTTAGATGGCAGTCTCTGTCGCGCGGTTGCCAGTACATAACTATAATTGATATAGTTGATTATAAAAATCGGGTCGTTTTATAGGAAAATACTTATATTCATGCCACCCCATATCAAGATTTTATGTCAATCATGCTGAATCGTTTGTGATTGTGGATTGCGATTCACAATATGTCTAAGTTCCCCCGGGGCAATTGAAGCTAGGGGACATATGTAGCTGTTTCAAAAAACTCGTTACTGTTTCGTTTTCAAAATAACTTTTATTGACCTACATATAACACGTAAACTGTTATATTTATAAAGTCATATATTACTCTCGTACAATTTTTTCATATGTGAGAGCTAATAGACTGCAGTTAAAAATATTTCCAAAATATTTTTTTACTCCATATTGGAAGGTGTTTTACAATGTGTCGTGACTTCTATCAACGCATAGTTGTAATGTTGACTTTATGGTAGAAGTTCTAAATAAATTAAAAAATAAGTATCACGTGAAAATGGCAGTTTGAAGAATGTGTTTCGATAAGAGTTGTATGTAGTTTTCCCTAAAATTGCGTTAAAAAGTAACACCTCACCCTTCCCGACCTCAAACGCCCGTAATTTAATTATATTCCTTTTTCTATGTGTTCTGTTCCTTTTGGTAAGGATTTTAACCTGATCTGAATTTTTTTGCACTCAGAAATTATTAGCCCTACTCTAAAGTAGATTGTAACTAGAATTTTATACAGTGTATGTTCATAATCATTTAATGTTTATGTATTTATTTGATTTCAAATAATCTAGAATAAAAACATACTTCACAGAACGAAGAAAACGCTCCCGAATCCAGCAGCTCAGATTCTGAGTACGAGTATGACACGTTATTCGCGCCGGACGACTATGAACCTTATATACTGCACCGTAAGAGCGATCGATTCGGGCTCGGCTACTCGGGTTTAAGCAGACATTCAGTGTTGGGTAGCCTCAGTGGACATTACGGGGAGACTTCTACAAAGAGTCATTTGGTCATGAGAGAAAAAGGGAAAAAGGTAAGCTTTAATTAAAAAATATATATAATACGTTTTGTATATTGATAGAGTTTTAAGGTTTTTATTTTATGCATTAAACTGCTTGAAGGTTTACTAGAAAGAATCATATTTTCTTTTACAACAAAACTAAAGAAATGTAAAGTATTGTTAAGTGTCGGGATGGGATTCGAAATTATATGCCAGTGCACGTTTGACAGTTCTTTATTTACCAAACACTTAACACACAACGTTAATCACAATACACTCACTAAACACTGTACTTCACTAAGCAGGTCTTTAAATAATCGTACTCAAACACTTGCACTTTGATCGCTTTGGTATTCGTCCCAAAATCGCTGTTAAAACTCAACTGTGTCTGCGCAGCACCGATCGCACCAATCGACGCATTCTAGAAGTCCCATTAAATTGAGAGTTAACTAGCACCTGCTACCTGCTTATACCTACGCAGCTAACGCGCATAAGTTGTAAACAAGTGCAGATGTCGTTGCACCTTCTCCCTTACGCCGCACTGCATAAAGCTAATATTAGAATGAGCCGCACCACTCGACCTTCATCGCGAGCCGCGGTGTTCTGGTAAATTGTGTCTCGTAAGTATTTTCGCGGTTTTGTTTCGAGATCGTTCGGGACAATCAATAATAAGTAAATAATAATAAAAGGCCTGGCTAATGCAGTTTAATTTTGTTTAAATTGTATACTGTACTGTTTAAAATAAATAAATCACATGAATTCATTAAATCAAAAATTAACGAAAGATCAAGATAAATTAATGTCAACATAACCATGCATGGCGGCCTGACCTGTTAGAAGGTGGATAGAAAAAATAGACCTCGATAAATTCACATTTGCTTTTTGTCAGATTTAAGTTTGTGTCAGGAAACAAACAAACAAACAAACAAGTATACCATGTTGCTAATTGATTTCCTTATCCTATTTGCGTGTTCAAATTAATATCCATCACGAGTCTATTCTAACCATATACATAAATTATGGAATGAGCAACAGTTGCATGACATTGATAGCTCTCTAAATAGAGACCACGACTAAGACCTTTAAGAACTATGAACCGCCCATGAACATATTATACCTTCGCGAGATCGCCCAATCGCTTCGTTTTACCTACACTTAATTATGTTTTTCTTTAAATTTGGACAGGGAACGTCTTCTCTCAATGTCTATAATTCATATTTTACCGGGATTGCTACCGCAGAACACAGAAAAGGTTAGGTGGGCTTTGTGGGCGGGGCAATACTCATAACTTGACCAAACCTTGGTTTTGATTGCGTCGTTACTCCGGGTGTGAGCGCTGATTGTTTCGATTGCTTGATGTCGAGTCGTTTGATTGGCTATTATCTATTAGGAGGAAGTGTAGTGGGGGTGACCCGGCGACATCGGCTCCCCGTTCAAACAGTCTTAGATTAGAAGGGTCTAACCTTTTTCTATGTTCTGTGATGATTCTCATGGTAGCAACCATGTATCTTGTTTTTAGCGAATTTCCGATGTTTCGCCGCTGTTGCAAGCGCCATGGTTACGGAGTATTTTATAGCGAGGTAGGCAAATGTCTCTACCCCACCTGGTGTTAAGTGGTGATAAATACCATACGCGAAGATAGCTGGTGCAGCAGTTATAAACTGCTTCAGCAACCATCCTCACCTTGCCGGCCTGCAAAAATGCTTCTTCGCGCCTCTTTTAAAGGACCCCAGATTGTAGGAAGGTGGGAACACGTAACTGATAATGTTAGTGGCCATGAAAGTTTAAAACAATAAACCTTTTCATCATTTAAGGTGTCGATAAGAGGTCAAGCTTTCGGCGTGGGTGCTTTCGAAGCGGACGACGAAGATATTTACGCGACGGAAGACATGTCGCATTACGACTTCGCGTTAGGTGGCGCTGATGATAAACCCAAGAAGACCGCCAACAAGGACAAGGGAGTCAACGTGAGTCATTATCATCAACATAAGCCTATTAATGCCCTCACTGCTGGGCTACAGCCCTTCCACGATCGACCCATTTTCAATTACAAAAGAAAACACATTTTTTTCCTAAGTGGTTATGAAATGAGTATGTTTTTCCCATTTTCATAACTGATTTAATGGTTCTAGTTTCTAAATCGAGATGTACAACCAAATAATACAAGTACGAACATGGAAACAACACGTTTGAAATGGATCATTAATTTTCTATGACTTTGGTGTGCTTTCTTATTTGACAGCCACATGTAAACAAATCTCAATTTTTTTCAATAGATTGTGAGTTTTATATCAATTAGTACGACTTATGCTGGAATTATACTTTAAACTTAAAACTTAATTCGAGAATATCTCCTTTTCATTCTGTATAATTATATATATATACTGTGACAAGGATATAATGCTGTCAAATTAATTGTAGGTTTAAATAAAAAGAATAAAATCCTAGCGGTCCAGGCAGCAGACAGGACTCGAACCCAATCTGGGCGGATGCAGTAACCAATGATGATACCGTGACTTTAATGGCAATGTCGAATTTCTTCTAGTATTTCTATGGCTGCAAGGCATTGCCATCTCTTTTCTATTCATTTCTATTCTTCTTAATTTTTTTTTATAAATATTGTTTTGAAAAGTCGCATGACGTCACGTTTTGGTACAAATAATCACTTAAAAGTGATGTCACGAGCCCCTAGTCCCAAACTTTGACGCGCTATAACTTTGTCATTTTTTGGTCGATTACCCAAAGAAAAAATACGTGTCAATTATTTTTTGATCATCTAACTGACGGACTAAATAGAATTTTGTTTACTTTACCCCGTCATCACCCCTATTCTCCCCACAGGTGCTGGTAGGTTTCGTGAAAGCAAGCAAGCCTTTACCACAAGTCCCATCTTATCCCCCGCCGGCTTTACCGCGCGACTATAGGCCGGCCGAAGCTGGAACCAAAAGGTCCAGGTTCGAACCCACTGCGGCACCACAGAGAGACCAAGGTATGGACAATTAAAAATAATGTATTAAAAAAAATGTGTCAGATGTGTGGTCCGTGCGACCACACCTCTGAAGTAAATCTTCTTGTCTTAAATAAACTAACATTAGGTGGTGCATAAGGCATAGGGGAATGGAGCAGCGCACGCATCACTCATGCATATGTATATATTTATATATATAAAAATCAATTGCTGTTCGTTAGTCTTGCTAAAAGTCGAGAACGGCTGAACGGATTTATCTTATCTTGGTCTTGAAATGTTCGTGGAGGTCTAGGGAAGCTTTAAAAGGTGAGAAAAAATCGAATAATTTCGAGGAAGATAGTGAAAATACAATTTCATTTGTCCATATAAATCAAATTATTGTAAGCAGTACGAAGTACGCTAGGTCAGCTAGTATATATATATATTGTCGCGTGGGAAGTTCTTGACGCTCGTAGCGTTTCAGCCTTCGCCGAGTTACTCTCCAACTTTCATGCTCGTCGGGAAGAGCTACGCACTCATCCCACACACACACACACACACACACATATGTATGTAGTAGTACTTTTTCTTAGGATTTTTCCAGTTATCGTCATTTACCCGAAATTTAGTTTCACTTCAAAATTCACGCAGTTCGGACATCAGACGGGATTCGAACCCGCACCTTCCGCAATCCGGTTGTATAATTAACTACCATCGTCAATCACATTTTGAGTATTAACTAATTTAAAGCTAATTTTTAACTTCTAATTCTGTCACTTATTATTTTCTAACGAATCATGATTCATGTGACGTGAGTGTTATTTAATTTTATTGATGAAAACTTATGTGAAACTATCTGTAGCTGAATATGTGAAAGTTACATTGTGGTGCATAAATAACCATTATTTATTTTTCTTAGGCCTCGGCCGCCACGAGCTTACAGCGGAAGCCCGAGGCGCTTTACTAGGCGAACAGCCGGTCCTCAAACTCCCAGACCCGATAGAAACCCCACAAGTAACTCCAACACCACCAGAAGACGCCATAGCTAAAATCACCGGTCGTAACGTTAATTTCGTTTCCACGAACGAGAACAAGGAATTAGATTTTATCCCTATAAAAGAAACTGGAGATAATGTACCGAAGACATTTAGACCGTTTCTGAGTGTGCCTGAGAAACAGGCTAGATATGAGAGTTATTTGAGGGATAAGGAAGCGTTTATGAGGGAGGGAGATAGCAACATTGATGCTGTTAGTGAGTGGGAGAGGAACAGGGAGCTTGCTGAGTTCGAGCAAGCAGCAAAGTTGTATAAACCTTTAACCGGGTTCATCGGTGACAGGTGAGTTGGACATTTTCTTTCTTGAATTTTTTAATTGACCTTAAAAACAGAAAGAATTGTGTTCCCAGTTTGATTGTATGTTTTTAGGGTTCCGTAGCCAAATGGCAAAAAACGGAACCCTTATATAGATTCGTCATGTCCGTCCGTATGCCACAGCCATTTTTTCCGAAATTCTAAGAACTATACTGTCGAAACTTGGTAATAAATTTTGGGGGTTCCCAATACTTAGAAGTGAAACTCAAAATATATTTTTGGGGATATCTATGGATACCTAGGTCTTCAAAAATGATATTGAGGTTTGTAATATATTTTGTTTCTAAACTGTAAATAGTGTGCGCGAGAGACACTTCCTTAAGTGGTAAAATGTGTGCCCCCCTGTAACTTCTAAATTAAGAGAATGACAAAACTAAAAAAAATATATGATGTACACTACCATGCAAACTTCCACCGAAAATTGGTTCGAACGAGATCTAGTAAGTAGTTTTTTTTAATACGTCAGAAATCGTAAAAAATACACTATTATTAAAACATCGATCAAAGTTACATCCAACTACAGTAACTTTTATATTATGTTACTTGCTGCTACGGAACCCTTCACGGGCAAGTCCGACTCGCACTTGGCCGATTTCTGTACCATTTACTTTGCTTGCCTATTCAATAGAAAAAAATACTATTTTAGTTTTAACACTAGATACCCTAATGCCCTAGTTCTTCCTTAAAAAAACTACGGCTCTGTGCCATAGAAATGCGTATTGTATGCTTAGATTAAAACAAAAAGCGTAGATACGGTACGCTCATACTTGCATCAAACAAAAACTGATCCCAGCGCGAACGGGACGGCGAGATTCACGTCACTGCATTACCGACCCGAACGAAACAGCACGTTAAGTTTCAACGGCAGCGCGAACGAGACGGCGAGATCCGCGTCACTGCACTACCGACCAATCACGCAACCAGTACTCGACGTCACTACCGAATAAGATTCAAAACAAACAGCATTTTTTATGAAAAAATATATTTTATAGTACTTACGAATGAAAAGTGATGCCGTGGGTTTTATTTTTAGTTCTTGAGCAATTTGAGCACTTTTTAAACACACTTAGGCATTGTTTTATCATATAAACACAAAATATTAGCAATATTTCTTTTTGACGTTCACATGTACGTCGTTTGCATGTCAAGTTGTGACTAAAGCGATTAGGGTCGTGGACCACAATTCATGCGGATCACTTTTGTGAGGCTAGTGCCGTATCTACCCTTTTGGTTTTAATCTAAGATTGTATGACTATACAGAGCGTTCCACGGCAACCTCACACGGAGGGAAAGTATATTAAATATTGAAGATAGGATATTTTACTGAAAGAAGACATCATTTTATTTTTAATAATAAATAAAACTGCATTCACAGTTTTTTTTTTTAAATTACCTGTTACAACTGGGAATCAATCTCGTGAAATTTCGAAAAAAAAACATGACATTTTATAACTCCATCAGGATATCTTTGCGGTACCACCGCAAAGATAATATGTCCTTGTGTTTCATAAAGTAAGCTTCCATTAAATCCATTTTATTTTGATACGCCATGGTAAGTAAAATAACAAAAAAATGCAAATAAACGAAAATGAAACTCAAAAAAAGAACAGACGCTTGAAAATTTATGTGTTCCATTTTCGAATTATTATTTTTATAAATTTCAGCCAATCGCATTGTAACTGTGAGTTCAAAAAGAAAGCATACATACTTCAGTTTGTATAACACTTTATTATTTTTATCACGTAATTAAACATTCCTTTCATTTAAAATGCTATGTTATTCAACAAAAAATAATGCTTATGATTAACCCTTTCGACAGTTATCATAAAATGAGTTGTGTTTTTTTTTCGAATTTCACAAGTTTGATTCCCACTTGTAACAGGCAATTTAAAAAAATCTGTGAATGCAGTTCTCGTTATTATTACAAATAAAATGATGTCTTCTTTCAGTAAAATATCCTATCTTCAATATTTAAACTTTCCCTCCGTGTGAGGTTGCCGTGGGACGCCCTGTATGTATTTATAATAGTTTGCCGGATGATCTCAAGATTTTGCCTTTAAATACGTTCCAGAGGAAACTTATAACTTGGTTGATTGGGAACTGTTTTTATTCTGTTGAGGAGTTTATGGGTTTATGTAAAAGACGACAGTAATCTACTATTTTTTTTTACCCCTTGGTTTGGAGGACTTATAGATAGTGCATTTTTATTTTTAGATATTTATAAAACTTGTATGCCAGATTCTGGTAAATTGTGCGCGTCTCAAATAAATAATGTAACACCTTTTGTACCACTTTTCTTGCAAATAAATAAATTATTATTATTATAATTGTTATGCACATAAAAATTATAAAAAAATGTGGGTACCTTCAGTTCACGTCAGTAAAGTATTAAGTAAGTAAAATAGGGGTTGGTGTTAGAAGGGTGAAAATTTAGGGTTACATGTATTTTTGTATGATGTATCAAAAAAATAAAACCAAAAAATATGTCTAAAAAAATTAAGGGTGTACCTTTAACATTTAGGGGGATGAAAAATAGATGTTGTCCGATTCTCAGACTTACTGAATATGCATAAAAAATTTCACGAAAATCGGTCGAGTCGTTTCAGAGTAGTTCAATTACGCACACTGTGACACGAGAATTTTATTTATTAGATATAAAATTTCCTAAACATGGTTTAAATGAGTTTCTAAGTTTTTGTGGTTCAACTCTCATAGTCTATTTATTTTAAACTTTGTTACTTTGCAATAGAATCGATATTTAATATTTTATATTTTTATAAAGATTCACGCACGCTTCGGAACCAGACGAAGGCGCCGTAAATCCTTTATGCGCTGTCGCTAAAAGCACCAACAGCTATGGTCTAGCCACGCCCGAGCAGATAGAAGCAGCGAAGCGGGGCGTTTATGGACTCATGACGAGAAAGGAAACAAAATGGCGGCCTGAATCGTTGGTCTGCAAGCGGTTCAATATACCAGACCCGGGTGGAGTGAGGTGAGATGGACAAATTAATTTACATCCTACCGTCCTTCCTTCTAATGTTGTCCTATCCTACTAATGAACGGTGTTAAGCAAAAAGCGAAAGAATCGTTTTTTTGGGATCAAACTTAAGCATGTCCACTGTTAACGCTCTATTATATGTGAAAGTTTCTATATGGAATCAAAAGTTTATTTGCCTCCGGTGCCAATTCCCGCGGGGGACAACTGGGAATAATGGATTATATCCTACTTTCTACTAATCCTTTTGTCCTACTTTCTACTAATCCTAGTTTCTTTCTACTAATACAACAGGGATTTTTTGTTTGTTTGTAATTCTTTCACGCAAAAACTACTGAACGAATTTAGATCAAATTTTGTACGCATACAAACTATGACGTGGATTAAGACGTAGGATACTTTTTATCCAAATTCAGACCCGGGTGTGAGGTGAGATGGAAAAATAATTAAAATCCTACAAATTATATCCTACTTCCTATTAATCCTACTTCCTTCTTCCTACTAATCCTACTTCGTACCAATATTATAAATGCGGAAGTATGTATGGATGTTTGTTGTTCTTTCACGAAAAAACTACTGAACGGATTTAGATGAAATTCGGAAACCCTTACAGTTTTAGACCTGGATTGCGACATGGAATACTTTTTATCTCGGAAAAATGTTAGGTTTCTGTGGTATTCTCTCAAAACCCGCTAGTAACGTTAAAATAAAGCCACGCCAGAAAAAGAGGCAGCAAAGCGGGGCATTTATGGACAAAATGGCGGCCTAGGTCGGCCCAAGCGGTTCAATATAGGGTTGAGGTGATGTGAAGAAATAATTGAAATCCTACATATTATATCCTACTTCCTACTAATCCTTCTTCCTTCTCCTAATGTTATAAATTAGAAAATTTGTATTGATGTTTGTTGTTCTTTCACGCAAAAGCCCTATAATTTCCAAATCGCAAGGCAAGTTTACTAACTTTAATGCTTGTCAAACCACAAACGGAGTGGTTAGTATCTACAAAGAATCTTATTTTTTATATTTATAAAATACAGGTATGAGTATCATCTAATTTTATAATAGAAAATTAAAGACTTCAATTAGAACGTTTAGAGGTAGACAGAAAGTATGCAGATTGTTTTTGACTGACAAAAAACATATGAAAGAAATGCGAAAAACCTTTTTTGTACTAATACATGAACATTATATAATGTACAGTATCCTCGGACCACGGAAATACACGTGATATATTACTTCACCCTCCCTCCCCCCTTGTGATATTTCGTGATTTTTATGGACCCCTATCGAGTCTCACGTGATTAATGGACAGCACCTAATTTGATATTTTATTTCTCAGGACGGAAACTAAAACCGAAGACAAACCAAAGGTTTCGTACTCCATATTCTCGTACATGGAGTCATCAGTGCACGATAAGGACAGCTTCGCCAAAGAACAGCACAAATTCAGTGGTTCCAGATCGATGAACCTACCAAAACCAATACAAACCACGCCCCAACAAAGCGGAAACAGCTCTCAAGTCACACAGAACAGAAGTGATAATCTAGCACCCTCAACTAGCACTGAAAACGAAGGTTTCAGTAAAAGAATGACTGTCGCAGACTTGTTTATGAAAGAATCAGAAAAAGATATGAAAAGCAAAGAAAACGTCAATGAAACTATAGAGAAATTTGATAAAATGGATCTGTACAAAGCTATTTTTCTAAGCGACAGCGAAGACGAAAATGAGGAACCGAAAACGGGTACAACAGATGACAAAACCACTGAAGCGGACGATTTTATGGACAAACCAAAGAATGTTGAAAGGAACACTTCACCACCGCGTGGCATTTTCGCTAACATTGATTTTGACGAGTTGAATTCGTGGCGGAGAAACATCGGGCCAAATATGTCTATAAACAACGCTAAAACTGATGACAGTAAACAAGATGGAAGAGTTAATGATAAAGAAAAAATAGAGGCTGCGGCTAAAAACGTAGAAGCCGATGTCTATGGTCCGAAAATACCAGAAAATCTTCAAAAAAGACTTGAAGGGGAGACCGATCCAGATAAGGAATTTAAACCAGTTTTTAGACGCAAGACTGATAATGGAAAAGATGTAGTTGAAGTGGACTCTTCCAGTAGTTCCGACTCTTGGGTTGACGTTAAAGAGGTGAAAGCCAAAAAACACAAAAAGAAGAAAAAGAAACACAAAGCGAAACACAAAAAAGGCAAACACAAGAAGAAGGACAGATGAACTTAATAATGTACAAGGAGGAAGGTGGTGTTTTTACCACATACAAAATGTTATAATTGCTTAAGTTCCTTCACAAGTGTGACAAACTTTACAAATAAACAATAGGAGGGACTTTTTTTCATAATAAGAGTGTAATTAATATACGCTGTATTGTGTTAAAATGTGTACGATTGTATATACTAACTTACTTATATATTTATGAGTTCAATCATTAAATCATGTTCACCGGATTTGAAGGTTTTTATTAAGCTATTTGAGTTTTATTATAGTCCAGTACCCTTAGCACGAACCAATATCGAATTCAAATAGTTTGTGAGTGCGAAATGTTATTGTTAAACGTGTACTGATTTTTAGTTCTCGTTACGTCCGTTATAGCGCTGCTGTTCAAGTTTCCATACAAAATTTGACAATGTAAATTTGTAGGCCTCAATCTGTGTGTTGAATACGTTAAAGTCGTCGAAGTCGTCACACACAGACGTCGGAGTCGGAGCGGAGGCGTGTGCAGATTTTTTTTGTATAGTTCAAATTACTATGAAAATTTGAAAGTACACACACAAACCTTAGAGGTATAAAAATAGAGTGGGAGGCGGCTCTAAAAGTGTCCGTCTAGTAGAAAGAGAAAGAAGATGAGAGTCCGCTAGCTATCTCTTTCTCTTGTGACACATGGCATCCAATGGCATCACATCGAAATAGTAAGATGCTTACGGTTGCCAATGCGCATGCACGATTAGAGAGAGAAAGCTAGTGGTCTCTCATCTTCTTTCTCTTTCTATTAGAGAGAGACTTCCACTTGTAGTAGAGTCCATATCTCCCCTACTCTATTCTTATACCTCTATGGCACAAACCGGTGCGGTGATCGTTGTATTCCTCACAATGTTTCAAGTAACTTCACACATACCGGCAGCGGCTTATTGCCGTGCAGAGGCGTGCCACTAACGGAGATTAACAATTAATTTCCATTTGTTTACAAAACAGTTAATAGTGTAGTGATAATGACAATAGATTTTACCAAAAACTTAATATTATTAGTGCAATCGCACCCTTATTTGTATGATTGTGTGAAAAAGAATACATAAATGCTTTGAAAAAAGATATAGAGATATTTTTGTAAACTTTCCCCATAAAACACGCGGCGACGCTGAGGCACAAGGCACCGTCGCCGCTCCGGCACGCCTGGCAATGTGTAAACACATTAGATAAAAAAAGGGAAGAAACGGCACTCGCGGCTCAAAAGTGATCCGCTTAAATTGTGGTGCACGATCACAATTCGCTTTAGTCACAATTGGACATTCAAACACGCTGCATGTACACTCAATATAACAATATTGCGTATGTTCTGTGTTACAACGATAAAACAATGGCTTCGATGCTTTTAAAAAGAACACAAATAGTTCAAAATCAAATAAGAAATGCCTCGGCAACACTTCCCATTCGTGAAACTGAAAAAACGTTTTTTTTTTCTTAAATATCACGGTTTGTCGTGAACGTTTTTTACGTTATCGCCATTTTGTTATCAAGAAAAGGACAACAATACAGGTCAGCCGTTCGCACTCGGAAGCTGATTCGCCGTTTCGCTCGCTCTGCGTTGAAGCAGTACAGTTTCTGTCTTGCTCGCTTGATTGAATGTTATTAACAGACGTATGCGTGTGTGAGAGTTGCTTATGTATTTGAGTCGGATCATATTTTATTTGATGCTAGTATGAGCGTACCGTATCTTCCCTTTTTGTTTTAATCTAAGGTAAACACCCGCAACGCGACTGTCAAGCCTGACACTGTTCTCGATCGCCACCGCTCCGCTTCTAGTTTCTGTGTGTTTTGATATTTAAATAAATAAATAAATATTTCCAACAGTCACAACAATTAGCCTAGCCCCAAAGTAAGCACAGTAAGCTTTAATGCCATACTTCGCCAATCTATATATATAAAAATGAAACCCGTTTTCCGTTGTCACGACATAACATAAAAACGGCTTGACCGATTTGACTGATTTTTTTTTGTAGTTTTCTAATACTCTGTACAAGGTTCTAAAAAAATATTTGATTTTATTTATTTTTTTAATTTTTAATTTTTTTATAAATTTTTTATTTAATAAAAAATAGTAAAGTCCTCAGTATGGCGAGATTCCAGTTCAAATTGAATAGGTACTCATACATAAGATAGGTCAGCTATACAAAATAAAGTAGTGCATCAAACCTACGCTAAGGCGGTACGAAGTTCGCCGGGTCAGCTAGTTTTAGTATAATTCACCTAGCGAACTTAGGATTAGTAATTTCCTGTTGCCGGTTCCCTTCATCATCGACCTATTCCGCCTTATTACAAAACGTCGACTAAGGCCCGTATTATAGAAAGATTCAGTGATTGATCTAGTCTTGAGCATAGGAAGAAAGGGATGTCGCTATATATAGCACATAGCGATATCCCTTCCTAACTGTACTCAAGTAAAGATCAACACTTAGTTGTCATTCTCTAATACGGGCCTAAAAATGAATCTGGATTAAAACTGATGTTGTCACTTTTGTTTGCTTGCAGAAGACAGAGATAACATTAGGTTTAAACCAAGGCTAACATTTTTTATATTATTTATTAATTTATAGTCAGGCAACGCGGGCCCATAGATACATACCTTAGTCTAACATTTAGGCGCTTAGCAGACGACGGGGCGGGGCGGGCATTTTGTCCGCGAAGCAATAAAGACCGCGTCTGCCCGTCGATGTCTGCGGCTGCCCGCGCCGCGTACACAAAGCACACGACGGGCAGAGGCGGTCAGTTCAGGAAGTTCGTTCTAGTGAACTGTCCATACTAAAAAGCGCATGGCGCGCCGCGCCACCGTCTGCGTTACTGCATATAAACTGGTTTGTATGATCCACGGCGGGCAGCTGCGGACATGCCGCGCCGGCACTGCCCGCGGGCACCTGCCCCTGGTCTTTTTGCCCTCTGTGTGCGTTTGAAGTATAGGATTCACTTTGTGCTATTATTCGCGGCGAAATTGACCGGCCCGCCCCGCCCCGTCGTCTGCTAAGCGCCTTAAACAGATATAAAACATCATCATCATAACTTTAGTCTATGTTTTGGAATAAGGCGGTTTATGTCCACTGCTAATGCACAGGCCTTCCCTGTCGGACCCACCCATCAAGCGGTATCAGTCTCATTGATGGGTGCTAACGACTGCAAATATAAGTAACCGTCAGGACCAATGACGTAAAATACTCTACCTCTGGATAAACATGGTTGATTACAATGAGCGAGTAATCATTGATCATATCACCCGGCGACTGATTGAATTGTCTCACAGACAAAACGGGCTATCCGTTGTGCAGTTGTATTAAAATCAACTAATATTATAAAAGCGAAAGTTTGTGAGTGTGTCAGTGCGTATCTTTGTTTGTCACGTCTAAACGGCTGGAGCGATCTTAATAAAAAATTGGTATGGAGCTGAAACCCTGGATTAACACATGGGCTACGTTTCACTGCGGGAAAATATTCCTAATAAACCGCGGGTAACACCGCGGGGCACAGCTAGTAAGTAATATTTCCAAACCCATGAAACTTCTCCGCTGGAAACTGCTTTTAGCGTTTGTGTTTTTTGGCAACCGAGTCGTGATCTTTAGGGCAGCTTAGCCGGTGCTAGTTACTCGACTACGGTATACCAGTACCACAAATAAGCGTAATACGTGTATGTGACGTATAGCTATTAAAGGCAGAGGAAGTGATAGCCACCGAGCTATTTACTCAACTACCACTTACTTTGTTAAAACTTCACTAAAAGCGCCTACTGACATGCCTGCCGCACGGACAATCTATGGTGTAAGAGTGGGGATGTCCCTAAATTGCCTCCTGAATTGTGATGTGTGTAGGCAAGTTGTGGCAATTTTCTAAATCGGACCTGCGGCAGGGCGGCAGGAGCGCGCGACCACCCTTGCTTCCTAGATTGTCCCAAACGCCCTGCACGTTGCCGCGTGTGTAGCACGATTGGGGCAATTTCTCAATCAGTCGGTTAGTAGCTGCCACACGCAGCGCAAGTATTTTGATCAAGATGGCGGCAGATCATAATGAGCATGAAGTTTGGACACGAGTGATCGAAGTATATAAAGACCGGCCCCACATGTGGGATAAAAAAAACAGACATTATTTATATATTTTTTTAATTAATTTTATTTTTTTAAGTATGTGACTGCTCGATGTTTAAATCTTAAAAATATTACTAGAAAAATAGAAATACATAGGTTTTTTTTATTTTTTTTGTAATATTTTCTTTACATTCAAACATTGAGCAGTTACATGCTTAAAAAGTTAAAATTATCACTTTAATTGCTATTTCTTCTTTTAAATGTTTAATACTTGTAAAGGTATTCATTTGACATTGTGGGTTACATATATTGCGAAGAGATGGCGCTGCCTTGCAGCTTAAGAAAGGCTGGAAAGTATGCGATACGACCATCAGGGCCATGGTAGCATAATTGATCAGTGCATTCGCCCGGATAGCGAAGGCTGCGGGTTCGAGTCCCGTCTGCTGCCAGGTCCGCGTGGTTTTTTTCTAATAACATAAACGTTACTTATTTATAATACATTTCTTTCTGTTGCCAATTCTTCACCCAGTATTTCCTTTTTTACGGTAACATATTTTTTGATAACACTGGGAGTATCATCAACGCGTGTGTTTAGCTCAACATACGCCCGAACACTGAATAGCAGGCATGTGTGTAGAGACAAGCCGATATTGGCCCGACCGCCGTGCCGTGCACCCTAGATTGTCCCTGCGGCAGGCATGTCAGTAGGCGCTTTAAGATACTTGTCGTAAAAAGCATAGATGGATATGAAATTGACTCTTACATATCGGTACATACCTATACATACACAATGTAGGTAATTCGGTGATAAGAAGGGGACCGGGTATTCAAAAAACGCGGTGGATTATAGTCAAAGATTGAGATTCGTGTATTAATAATGTAGCGTACGCATATTGCGAATCGCACAGTATTTAATTTAGTCTTTAAGAGTTAGTTGAGTTCTTAATCGATCGATAATAGTACTAACAATTTTGGTATAATATGCTCTACCTAAGTTAAATATAACAAAATCTTTCTGCGCCACACATATTCATTTAAAATTAATAAATTACCTAAACTATACAGTTGTTTAAAAACTTATTTATTTAGGTATACCTACCTAAATAAATAAGTTTTTAAACAACTTTAAGTTCTACGCTTCAGTATTAAAATTTTATATCTACTTATTCACGCGTAATAAATACCTTTCGAAAAATAACACTATTTATTATTCTGATATAGGTACGCAATATTGAATATAACTGCGTCATTTTGAACAATAATAAAATTGCGATGCGAATCCAAAATACTACAATTGCGTAAATGTACGAATTCCATTTGTAAATAAACATTCTTACACAATATACGCGGCTGCGTGGGTTTGACTCTACCTCAAGGTTGTTGCGATGGAGAGAAATGGCAAAAGCTAGCTCACATAAACAAATAGAATCGCCGTAAATGTGGTCGATACCTAAATATAGATGGAGAATGGAGATCTATAATTCTATAACTAAGACCCAGACTAGCAGTCTGACGAGAAAGAAAAAAGGTAGTGTGATTCAGGGACAGATAAATAAACAACAAGAATTTATTTTCACAAGCATTCCAACAATAAATAAGTCTGCATGATGTTCATTGCGCCGCTATCAACAGATGGTTTTAAAATTATTTACCTAGAAACTTCGGTGAATGTTGAATTGAAATTATAGCGTTAATTATCGTTAGTGTTCAAACTATTCATAGACAACCACGATAAAAGGAAACAAATATATTCATTTTACTTGTATTTGAAAGAGATAGCTTAATTATCTTCATTAATAAAAAGAGAAAACATAACATGTTTCTGCACGCAAGAGTGAGATGCCAATAAAACAATGCCAGCAACATAAAATATCCTGTACGGTTGGTAGTAGGTACGCATGCGTCATTTTGTAGCCAGAGCCGTATCGGTACTTATGAAAAATCTTGAAAAAAAATGCAGTATTTGTGTTGTGGCAAGGGAAATGAAACGCCAAGCTAAATAAAGATGGCGTTTTGGCTGTATGTTGCATAACTATAGATGTATCACTTTGATTCAATCGATTCCATTCGGTTTTTCTTGCGAAATTCTGTTAATCTGTCTTTTGACAAGTAATAAAAGTACAGTAATAGGTCTGTAGACTACTTTATAATAAAGGTTGAAGTCCCGAAGATCAAAGAATCGTAAAGTGGAGCTAGTCACTAGGTAGCTAAAAATGGGCAATTTAGGTTAAAACATTTTTAAAATAATGTCAACAAAAAATTTTGTCCACAAAAAAAATTAAGGATGGACCACCCTTTACCACATTTAGGGGGATGAAAAATAGATGTTATCCGATTATCAGTCTTACTGAATATGCATATAAAATTTCACTAAAATCGGTCGAGCCGTTTGGGAGTAGTTCAATTACGCACACTGTAACACGAGAATTTTATATATTAGATGTTAACATAGTCCCCATTTTAAATACAGAATAAAATGTTTAAACTTAGGTAGAACGTGTTATATTGTTAAATTCAAGTATTATTTAGCAAATAATACTTGAATTTAATAAAATATAGTACGTCCTCAAGAATGTCCATAACTGGTAGGTATGCATAATTTACCACACCACACATTTGAACCTTGATCACTAAAATATGTCTTTGTTGGCATAAAATAATTAACTTAAATAAAGAAGTTTGACAATTTCTCCTTAATGGTATAATCTAGTTACTGGTACTTTTGAAAATAATTGCTCTTAAATACTTGAAATTAATTGTGCAAAGTTCGCACTGGTTCGCACCAAATCATAGTCAAATTCACAGTTCTGAGAGTTCTGTTCTTCTGAATGCGGCCCTGGCAGAATACAATCAGCTGTTTATAATGACAGCTCTGACAAATACAAAATGGTTGAAAACTAAAGTTGGCAAACAAAGAAAGTCAGTGTAATTTATCGTTATATTCGCATAAACTTTATTTTTTAAGTGAAAGTTAGTTAGTTTAGTGTGTATTAAGTGTCTGGTGCACGATGTTGGATTTGGAAATCGTCCCTGAGCGTTCCCTGGGCTGTGATGCCTGGGAGTTCGTACTAGGTAAAAGCGACTACTGTTTATTTGTAATGTCAAGATTTTGCGTTGTATTTCTATAGCTCGAAGCTTACGCAATTTTGTTTTTGTTGTATACAATGGCTTGTATATGAACATAGGATGCTCATCCGATCACTGTTTGCAGTTATAGTGTGAACTACATTGATTTTTTTCGCACGTAGTCACACTGCTGTGCCTTTGTGTTCGAGTTTACGTTTTTTTTTATTGCTGATCTTGACCGTGAAATCTTTCGAGTTTATTTTTTTCATAATAAACAATTTTTTATGTTGACAGACAGTTGAATCAGCTGAATCTAATGTTTATCAGAGATCCCATAACATGAAATAACCATTTTTTTAAACTGCTAACATATCATTAATTATTACCTACCCACCTTCTTTAATTTTCATGACTATGATGATGCTAGAAAAACCATAAATTACTAAATCAATCAAAATCATGACCTTCAATGTTAAATATATAAGATTTTAATATTATTTATTTAAATTAAATACAGCTGAAATTCTATACTGTGACAAATTATTCTATTATTGTTACATATGTCTGTTTGAATTTCATTCAGTTTGTGTTCTGCTCTTAAACCACTCACTCTACTCGGACTAATCATAATCAAAATAGAATTATAATTTATATTGTCTTCTTTATATTTTTTCTGTGATAGGGATAGCTGACTTACTGGATCACATTTATGTAATATACAAAAAAATTGTTCTTAAAAAGATATTATCTAATCTTAGACATTGTTTTTGTATGTATAAAGCACCTGATTATTAGCTATTGACATTTAAATCCTTATCTATGTTGTGTGCAAGGCAATTTTCTGATGTAACTAATACCTATTTTATTTGTATTTGTATAGCATTTGTATATTTTTATTTAAATACATCTTGCAGTACATTGCAATGGCAAAGAATGTTATAATCACGCAGACAGATCATAAATTATGAGTCTGTAAAATTGTAAAATTTGCCAATCGACTTGTATATAATTGTCGCATAAATTATGCATTCAATAATATGTAGAGAAATTACTTACAATTTATCACAAACTTCAATATGAATTCATATTTTAATCTTAATAAGAAAAGAATGATTAAAAAGCAAAACATAGAAAAAGCATCTATGTATTACTGTCAGAGCAATAAAAATATTTATTTCTATTTCTATTCTATCAAGTTATTTTTTTCCTATTATAGGTGATTATGGTTAGGTCAGAGATTAAAATAATACTAGCTACCTCAGACATTAAAAATATATGTATAATATACTATACTAATATACTGCTGGGGCACAGGCATTCCCTATGGATGGAATAGGGAGATTGACACATGACCCACCACGTGGATTGGTGGGTGCTAACAACTGCAGATGCAGCCGGGACCAACGGCTTAACATGCCTTCTGAAGCACGGAGGAGCTCTAAATAGTTTTTTTTTTGGTCACCCATCCAATGACCAACCACTGCGAAAGTTGCTTAACTTCAACGATTGCAGCCGAACGCGCTAACCCTTTGTGTCACCGACCTCCTCTTACATTCAACTATCATGCACTGAAAAATAAGAAGAACTTATTTTATGACTAACTTGATAACTTGCTCAAAACAATCATGTTCAAACATTGTGGGTAAACTATATATATATTTTATATATAACTATATATTTCAACAAAGTCGAGGATAGTTAATTTCCTCTATTAATTTCTGCTAACCGGATGGTGCAACAGTAGTATATTCCTTCCTCCAATGGCCCTGGGTTTGAATCCTGACAGGGGCGTTTATTTACAAGCTCATGTGATAAGCACAAAACATATTTGTTGCGAGTCATAGTTGTTTACGTACTCATGTACGTATGAATTTTATTTTTACTTACCATTGATTTACATCAGTAATAAGACTTTTATTTTTGTTTCGGGCTAATTATACAATTATAACAATTCTGTGCATTTAATTAGGAGGTTGTAACAAACAAAGAGAACAGTGGGGCAACCAACTTTATAATTTATGTGTTTATTTAGTTTCTATTGTTATAATTATTTATAACTAGCAGCTGCCAACGACTTAGTCTGTGTTTTTTTTTAAATCTCCAGAACCCAACTTTGTTTTGTGTGTTTGAGTAACAAACATACCTACTAACATTTTCATTTATAATATTAGTAGGAATATTAATTGAAATGATCAATGTCCTGTTATTCTTTCCTGCGTAAAAAGTATTTCTCTATTAAATAGGGAACTTCAGTTAATTTACTTTGTTTTAGCAACTTTGCAACTCCATGTTGTTGTTTAAGAGGGTTAGAGTTTGTGAAATAGACTAAGGCCACTCGCAGTCACACAACTCATAAAATTACGCTCTTTTGGCTTCACTCTTTAATCTCGTTCTTACAAGTGCTTTTTCAACCCACATAATTTTTTTATATACTAGTAGCCCGCCCTCGCTTCGCTTCGGTGTAGAGCTGTAGTGTAGACTAAAATTATTCTTCATATAATTATAAAAAAAAACTGAAAATGGTATATTTTCCTTTTCCAAACTTCTTTTGACATTATGTCACTCAACTGTTTTGCCTTCGCGGAACCTCCACTAATATTTGAAATTTATGGTATGTTATTAAAGTTCCAATTGACTTTCAAGTATTGTAACGAATTGTTTGTATGGGAGTATAGAAAAGTGCTGTTTTTGGGCCTTTCAGGCATTTTTTTTAATTTTTCTCTGTGTAAAAACCATCCTCGTACTTCAAGGAATATTCTAAAAAAAGAATTATCGAAATTGGTTCAGCTGTTCTCCAGATTCGCGCTTAGCAACACATTCAGCGATTCATTTTTATATTATAGATTACTAGTTCTCCTAGCGAACTTCGTACCGCCATAAAAAAATAGGGATTGATGGTAGGAGGGTGAAAATTTAGGGTTGTATGTATTTTTGTATTATGTATCATAAAAAAAAACAAAAGATTTGTCCAAAAAAAAATAAGGGTGGACCACCCTTAACATGTAGGGGAGGAAAATTAGATGTAATCCGATTCTCAGTCCTACTGAATATATAAAATTATATAGCAATTTCACGATAATCTTTCGAGCTGTTTCGAAGTAGTTCAATTACACACACCGTGACACGAGAATTTTATATATTAGATTTATGTAAGTACCTAATATATATTGTGTCTGTTTTTGCACCCTTCTATACTTCTTCCTTATTGTTCCTTTTCTACAATAGGTTGCCTGGAAGAGATTGCTGTTTAGCAATAAGGCTGCCTATTGTATTATCTTTCTTCTCTTTCACAAGTTTATGTTTTATCTGTTCTTTGTTGTGTGCAATAAAGAATATTATTATTGAAAAAAGCGATTTAATAAAACGAAAGGATGCATGCAGAACTTGTATGTTATCAAAAAAAAACAGCCACTCGCCCCGCCCCGTGTGAATGCCCGAACTCATAGTTTAATGCTGCGCGTTTTTTACGCGCTCTATAATGGGCTAGACTTTTTCCACTGCATGTTGTGGTGCTTTCTGTGCAAAATGGGTGACTTTAATTTGTTTTTTATTTTATTTCAATTTGCCCACACAATGGCTGCAATATCGAAGAACGCGGACAATGTCACGTCCAGCTGTATGATGGTGATAAGAGCTTGTTGTCATTAACGCACATGTGGTGTTGTTGTACGCAAAAACTGATTAATGGTCTAGATTCTTCTATAATTATCATTATTTTCATTTTAAAAATTGCTAAATGCTAAATTAATCTAATAAATAGTAGAAAAATCTCGTGTCACAGTGATTGTTAACTGAACTTTTTCTGAACTCCTCCGAAAAAGCTTCACGATTTTTTTAGGTCTGAGAATAGGTAGTTTATAAAGGCTATTTTTATACCCCTAAGTGATAGTGGGGGTGGGGTTATTTTCCGATATTCACGAAGTCTCTGGTGCAGACACTCACAGCTGAAATTGTTTATTTTATGTATGTAAAATATGAACTTAATTAATTCGAAGTCAAAATATCTCTAAATTTTGTATATTCAAATTGGTTGGACAAAAAATCTGAATAAGTTAAAATAAACTCCATAAGAAGGTTATAAGCTGCTTTACGGATAGCGCGTTCCACGTACGCATACTCCAGAAAGACATAATACGCGTACCCTACACGAGTTGCCATGAGTCTCAGAGACGCCCTCTAGTTGACCCGACACCCTCAGGTTCGAGTCGTCTAGAGGCTCCAGACGGAGAGGAGACTCCTCCCGTGGGGCGACGCCATCCCCCTGGAATACCTCGAGAGGCACTCGCCAATTCTCGGCTTGAGGTCCTCTTAGGATCTCGCCGTCCCCAAACCCGGTGACGCTGTAAAAGTCATCTGCGACAAACAGCATACACATTCAAAAAAAAAGGAGATGCCATGAGTATGGATAGCGTATGCGCAATTAGCGCGTTCCACCTCTCACGAAGTTTTTTTTGTCTATAAGGTCAAGGGAGTTTAAAGCACTCGATGACACGTTAAACAAAAGAATATAACAATAATATTATTATGCAGTGTTGATAATGGCAATATTATGATTCATGATAAGAAAAGCACATTGCTGGAATAATTGGATCAGTTCAAATCAAAGTTTTTTTTATAATATAACCAAGAGACTTAATAGTGCACTCATTTTCTTATGAAATTTTATTGGTGAATTTATTGTTTTTCCTTCAGCCGTTTTTGAAATCAGTTTCGAGAGAAGAATTTTTATTCTTCTTCGTCTTCGAGGTTTCGAAAAAAGAAATTTATTTCAGCGTTTCGAAAATAGTTTCGAAAAAATATTGATAAGAATTATTCTTGCATCGAAACTCAGCGATTAATATTATTATTAGCTGACCCAGCGAACTTCGTACCGACCTAAAAAAATAGGGGTTGTCCAGCGGACAAAATTGTGAATCTAAACCATTCTCAGATCCCCTTGAACACACACAAAAAATTTCATCAAAATCGGTCCAGTCGTTTAAGAGAAGTTCAGTGACATACACACT